GCCACTCTCACCACTGGTCCTGAAGGGATCATCCGCCCTGGATTCCCTGTGTTTCCAGTTCCTATCTCTACCAGTGTACACCCTCTGGTCTAGACAGATTTGTAAGGTAGAACTGGGATCATGATAGTTGGAGGGAGGTGGGGGGAGTGTAAGCATTTAGGAACTAGAGGAAAGTTGTATGTTTCATCACTGCTACACTGCACCTCGACTGGCTCGTCTCCTCCCCACGACGCTTCTTCAAATATATTTTTACAAACAAATGAAATCACCACTATCTGAAGAATATCCTTTGAAAATTGTCAGAATTTTACTTCAGAGTCTCATTTGGCTCGTGACTAGAAGACAGTGAGTTCTTGTTTCATTATTTTATTAAGAATTACATACATATGGGGTCGGAGCAGAGACCCAAAACCCATCTGTATGCAGTGGGACAGCCCCTCACAGAAGTGGCACAAAGAAGGGATGAGTCAACTACAGCGCAGTATGGCACCGATGAAACACAGTATTCCTCTGGTTCTTTGAGGCGTTCTCACTCCCCACTATCATGACCCCAGTCCTGCCTTTCAGTTTTTTGGCTAGACATGTACACTGGAACAGGTAAGAGCTCATGACACAGGGAATCCACATCAGATAAACCCCTCAGGGACAGAAATGAGAGGAGCAATACCGGGAAGGTAAGGGAGGTGTGGGGAGAAGGGGAGGAAGGGGAAAACGATCACAATGATGGATGCATACCACCCCCACCAGGGGAACGAGCAAAATAAATGTGGGTCAAGGCAGACAGCAGTCAGTTTAAGATATGATAATCATAATTACTTATAATTTATCAAGGGGTCTCAAGGGTGGGAGAGGAGGGAGGGAGAGAAAAAGAGGAGCTGATACCAAGGGCTCAAATATAATGTAAATGTTTAGAAAATGACGGTGGCAAAAAAAAAAACCCACTAAAAATTAAGAAAAAAAAAAGATGATGGCAACATATGTACAAATATGCTGGATACAATTGACATATGGAATGTTATGAGAGCTTTAAGAGCCCCCAATAAAATGATTTAATAATAAGCTGCAGATGTCAGAGAAATAATTCACTGACCACACGTAACAAACTGTCATTCTGAAGGTCAAAGTATCACAGAGAGTAAGGAATTCCATTACATAAGGGCCCTTCCCTCTAGAACAGTGATGTCCAATGAAAAATATAATTTAAGACATATTTAAGTCTAATTTTTTGTTAGTCATGTAAAAAAAGAGAATAAACCGGTGAAACAAATTTTAGGAATCATTTATTTCAATAATCCCAAGTATTTTTATTTTAACATGTAATCCATAAAAAAAAAAGTTACAAAGTTATCTTATACTCCTTTTCCAGGAGGGTAAAAATCTTTGTAATTCGGTATGTATTTTGTATTTATATCTCAAGCTTCTTTCCAGGTTCATTAAGCACATGTGGCTATTGGCTACTGTGTTGGATAGCACAGATCTAGCGCAGTGACTCTCAAGCCACATGGCACCCACAGCCCAAACTATTGCTCTAGGGGAAATAATGCTGCCTTGGGGTTCTTACCCTGATAAAGACTGATATATCTTTTAATACCTAGCTGTGGCTGATTGGGAGCTCTCATGGTACTGCTAGTTCAGCGTTGAACTGTTAAACACAAACCCATCAGCTGCTCTCTTTGAGAAAGATGAGGCTTTCTGCTCCTGTACAGATACACAGCATCAGAAACCCTACATAGGGTTCTTGCGATTTGGAATCAATTTGATGACAGTGGGTTTAAGATTTGGTTTGGATGGTTGATTAATTGGTAGAAAAGCAAACCAGATAAAGATTAAGTTCTATATAAGTTATAGAAGGACATACCAATAATTTTTGCCCCATCATCTTCCACATCTGAGAGCTCCATGTCTTCCACATCACGATTATCTGTCGCAGGCTCAGGTGTGACAGATTTCTCACTTTCCATGGTTGGTGACTGAGATTCCTCACCTCCCATTCCCTGAAAAGGGGATTCAGACCCAGTTGGTGAGGGAGCATCCACGCTTGGGGAAGGGACTGGTGATTCTTCAGGATCTGGAAGGGTCGACTTCAATTGATCCAACTTCTTCTTTAAATTATTCACTCGATTAGCAAAGGTTTTATATGCCTAAAAAAGAAAATGAAGAGTTAATTCTTCCAGAAGCAGCTTCTACACTGTCTCAGATCAGATCGATCTCATGATTAGGAAGCAGCGTCCTTGGTACTAAACAAGACATGCCCTGTGGGTCATGGAGGGCCTTCTTCCCAAGCCTGACTAGTCTCATTCCCTAAGTGTCCTGCATGACCACCGGGTCTCAGAATAAACTCGATGGCACTCTGTTTGTTTTTTAATAACTCTATTGGCATATACTTCACAGATCATACAATTTAATCATCCAATCATATTAAGATGTGTGTAATCATCACTACAATCAATTTCAGAACATTTTCTTCTCATCTGCATTGTTGTTAGTGCCCTATTTCCCTAATCCTCTCCTGCCTTGCCCCTATCCAGTTAGTGTCTCCTAAATCAACCTGTCCTGGATTTCATATAGAAAATCATACAAAATACAAATACGAATCAAACAAACAAAAAACCAACAACAGTGACCAGACAAACATTGAAAAACCTGTCAGAGAGAAAGCAGAAAATATTAAAAATGGAAACAACCTTAAAATGGAGGAAATGGGAGATATGTGATAAAGCATTTGATTTTAACCTAACTATACCTACCATAATCGATTTTATAATGCTCTGTCTGAGAGCAAGGCTATTTACTTCCCTTGACTATGGTCATAAGGAGTTCGTTGGAGACTTAGTCCAGTGTGGATGCTGCAAATGGAATTTGGGCTTCCACTGTCATTCAGTCTACTGCAAACCAGGTGTTCACATTCCATCCTTCAGCTTTAAATTTTATTATATACAATCCTTGGATTACACAGGCTGTTAAGCTTCTTCCATGTGGATTTAGTTTATGCCTCACTTAGATGACTGCTTGTTTGAAGATAAGCCTTGAGGATCCCAGATGCTATTCTGACAGCACGCTTTGGTTTCTTCACATTTTGCTACAGCACCTGGATCTTCATGAGGGCAGTTAATGAGTAGGGCATGTCATAAGAACTAAATGTTCTTAGACCGGGGCTAGAATTATGTGTGAGCCCCAAATCCATTCATATATCTATGGTTTATATATGTCTCTGGTTTACTCTAGAGATATCATTATCATTTTACGATAGGAAATATTATAAGTCATCCCCCTGGGCATAAAGTAATTCTATTGATAGTGTCATTAATTTAGCCAATGGTATAGAATTTAAAACACTGTTGAGAAAAGGAAACTACACAAGCATATAATTTCAGAGGTAATGAGTTTTTTTAAGTGACTATTACCATTTAGAAGTTATCTAAATAAAGGGGAGCTTCAAAAAGTTTTTTGAAAAATTCTACAAAAATTCCATAACTTTTTGAAGCCCTCTCATATTGTGAGCTTCCCTACACATGTAAATCTAAAACAATAATCTCTACAGCAGCAGCCCTGAAAATGTACTTTGCAGTCGGTGTTAATTAAGTACTATATGCTAGGTCCTTTTCTACGAAGTCCTGGTGACATAGTGGTTAAATGCCCAGTTGCTAACCTAGAGGTTAGTGGTTCAAACCCACCAATTGCTCTAGGGAAGGAGAAACTATGCGATCTGCTTCTGTAAACCACTTCTTGGAAACCACATTGAGCATATCTATTTTGCTCTACAGGGTCCCTATGAATTGGAATAAACTCAAAGGCAATAGGCTTGCTTGGCTTTAAATAAGTATCACCAACCATGCAACTGCCTGAATCAGAAATTAAAAGCTCAATTATAATTTTATCCTTTCTCATCATCTAGTCAAAAACCTAAATGTACTGGCTAAAGGTGTATGGTCTGGGGATACAGAAGTAAGAAGACAGAAATACAGTGTTTAAATAAATAAGAATGCCAAACAGTGGTTAATGCTACAAAGAAAATAAAACACTGGGTTTATGATAGTAATGGGGGATAAACCGCAAAGTACAGCCTAGGAGGTAAAAAATTATTTATCTTTTCAATAACCCTTTTTATTTAAAAACAGCTTTATATTTACAGAATTATGTGAAGACAGTAGTCTCTTTCCCCCAAGGATAAGCTGGTGAATTTGAACTGCTGATCATGAGGTTAGCAAGCCCAACACTACACACCACCAGTGTTCCTTTCTTGTGTCCTTAGGCTCCTCTTGGTTAAGTTTTGTAAACTTGGTTTTAATGATCTTGATAGTTTGGAAGAATAGCAGTCAAGTATTTTATAGAATGTCCCTCCCTTTGAGATTTGTGTGGTGTTTCCTTATCATTAGATTGGAGTAATGTATATTAGCACAGAAGGCCACAGAGGTAAAATGCTATTCTCCTCACAAGATATCAAGGTATACACTATGAATATGACTTATCACTGCTAATGTTAATGTTGATCACCTAGCTTAAATCATACTTAAATTCAATTCTTTGCCTCCTGAGATTATCTTAATTGTCAATGCCTTAAAGCTGTACCTTTCTTTCTCCTCCCCCAATTAAAAAAAATCATTTTATTGGGGGTTCATACAACTCTTATCACAATCCATACATACATCAATTGTATAAAGCATATCTGTACATTCGTTACCCTCATCATTCTCAAAACATTTGCTCTCCAAGTAAGCCCCTGGCATCAGTTCCTCAAAGCTGTGCCTTTCTCTTTAATGAATTTTGGATCATTAAATCCTAAAACTCATTTTGGTTGCTATCAGAAGTATTATTTAAAAAACATATGGGAAAGAAAACAACAGAATAGAATCTAGCTTTTGCTTTTGATGTGACTGAGCAGCTTGTTCAAGAAACATGCCGTTGTCTCCGCAAGCCTGTCTGGATAGGACAGGCTGGATGAACAATCTGGAGGAGAAAACAACGGG